AAAACAAAATGATCATCTCATAGAATGAAATGAACATGTAAAAGATTTGTGTATAATAATTTCAGATGGCCTATCATTTAGAGAAAAGAATAAGGTAAATGCTGTGAAAATCAAAAGTAATTGTGTTATAACAAAAACTTTGAAAACAAAAAGTAATGTGCATGATGACACTTTTCAAGTAACTTGTTATGTTGACAGTTCTGTAAAAGGTAAGATAGATATCAGAGCTGAATGTCTCAAAATACTATAAATATACCTGGAATAGAGAATAGAGATACATGATAATATGTACATACATGGAAGATATTCGAGGGCCTAGACCTAGATCTGCACACTATCATAATATACGGGAGGAAGTGTGAAATAGACTCAAGGGGAAAAGCAAGGGCACCATGGGTACATTAAGGTAACAGTGTCAACATCTGTGGTCAAAGATCATTCATCCAGCTATCAGCTGTATCAGAAATATTGCCTTATATAACAAGCATGGAACTTTTTAAGAGAAAAACTGGATCTGTATCTCTGCCAGTTTATGATGGATGTGCCCCTCAAGGAAATCTCCTTGATGATGGTGAGGGGTTCTTGATCCAAGGAATTGAACCTGTCCTCACCATCCTTGGACTGAACCTGGTTGCCCTGCATCCCTCAGGTGCTATAGTAGCCCTATGGGTTTAGCTTTTTCCCCATGAATGTAATGGTAATAATAGTCATGTGATGGATATGTGAGCCAGCAGTAGCAACAGCTTAGTTGAACAGGCAACCAAAAGAAAAGCCTGGCCCCAGACTGGGCTGTGAAGGTAGAAAAACTTGCACAATTGGTCACAAATATATATCACATATATATAAACCACAGTGGCTTGGTCTAATGAATTTTGTATAATAATTGTCAGTGGGTTAGCTCAGCGAGTCTTGTGTCATAACCCTTGGTGGATTAGCTTAGCAAGTCTTGTCTTGCAAGCCTCAGTAATAGCAAACAGTGATTAACACCAACAAGTGTGTAAAAAATACACAAACAAGGTAATTACGACATTTATTAAAAATTTTGCCAACCAGTGACTACCAATCCAGTACAGAGATGAAAAATACAGCATAGTATATTTATGGTGGGTGAGGTCAGGTGCAGCACATGCTGGAGAGTGGAGATAGGTGATGGATATTTTCATCTTGGGTAGTATTTGTTAGCCAAAATTTTATGAATTCATAAAAGTACCCGTGTTTAGAGTGATGGTGTTAGTAATAGCAGTGCGAGCCAATTCTAAACAGTGCTTATGAAATTGGTCAGATGCCTTGATGACAAGCCTGGTATTTTGAAGTCCATGAGTCAGTTATGGGTCTCATGATGTATGGTACACCTGTTGTTCAAATTGCCCCTTAGTAAGCTGTTCTATGTTCCTTATGTGTTGTTTGAGGCTTCTAAACAACACAGTATCAGTGGGTACTGGCTAATTTTGGTATCGGCCAAATAATTTGGTATCATCTCATTCCTATTTGAAAATGTTTTCCCTCACGTATACTTTCTTACATGCACCATGTGAGATGTTGCAAATACCAGTGTTGGACTCTGTTGTTTGTTCCTCTTTGTTAACCCTTTCAGGGTTTCGACCATACTAGTACGGCTTACACCCCAGGGTTTTTGACGTACTAGTATGCCTAAATTCTAGCGCCCTCAAATCTAGTGAGAGAAAGCTGGTACGCCTACATATGAGAGAATGGGTCTATGTGGTCAGTGTGCGCTGTATAAAAAAAAATCCAGCAGCACACAGTACGTATGAGAAAAAAAACTTTGACCATGTTTTTGGATTAAAACAGCGACTTTGCACTGTTTATTGTATTTATTGCTATATTCTAGTTTTCCTGGTCTCATTTTATAGAATGGAAGACATATTACAGAAATTGAGATGATTTTGACTGGTTTTACAATGAAAAGTACCTCGAAATTGAGCTCAAAGTAGCAGAAATGTTCGATTTTTTACCACAGTTCAAAAATAAGCAAATCATGCCAAGCGTCCAATACATGTCAACTGGTGAGTCTAATATTCTTTCACAAGTGTGCTGATATTATTTATACCATTTCTACACTAATGCAGTAGTCTGCATAACAGTAAATCTTCTATTTTTCTGTAAGAATAAAAATTCAGTGGAAAGCCAAAGACATATAAGAGGGGCCTGGGGATGTGACTAACCAACAGAGAACTTGTTATTTTAGTGCCAGGAATGTCTTTCTTGTTTATTTTGGACCCTGTTTGGAAATTGGCATCTTTTGAAATTTGTGTGAAATTGGCAAAATTGCTAAATTCTGACCACTTTATTGGATAGTTGAAATCGGTAAATGGATGGTTTCTTGTACTCATTCGATAGAAAAAAATGGAGTTCTAACGAAATAGTTATGATTTTTGTTGACTAGTACACTGGAATTGGCCGAAAATAGGGCTCAAAGTGGGCAAAATCGCCGATGTGTAAACATCGTCGAGACGGCTAACTTCGTGAGAGCATAATTCCATAAGTTTTCCATCAAATTTCACACTTTTGGTGTCATTATGATCGAGAAAATATTCTCTTATCTTTTCATAAGAAATTTTTTTTTTTTTTTTAAATTTGGGGACTCTGAGAACAAGTCTCGGAGAGGGCCTGGGGACCCTGAAAGGGTTAATAGTGTTGGTCATGTTGGCTATGCAGGTCTTGCTTTTAGCAATAAGATTGAAGATGTTTTCAGAAACCTGTCCAGCTGGAGAACAATGTGTCTGTCAGGGATCTGTCTTTGCTCAGTGGTGTTGTAGATCTTAATCTTTCTGCTACAATCATTGATGAAATGTATTATGTACTGTAGCCTGGAAAATGTTCTCCTATAAACTCTTAAATAAAAGCCAATAATGACATCTCTCTTAGTAAATGCATCACATTCATAGGTTTTTTGTAGACTTTGAAATCTGTTTTTGATAATTTCTGTGAAGTAAAGTATCAGGAAAGGGTAGGCAATTATTTTATTGCTCGTCCTTCATGGAGAATTTGATGTTGAGAAGTTTATTGGTGTCCAGACATCTAGAAACAATAACTAGGATGTCATCAACATTTGTAGCCATATTATCTCTGTAGGAGTGTATGGACTCAGTCTTTCCTCTCCCACATGTTCTATATACAGGTTAGCCATAACTGGCCATTCCATGTGACTGTTTTACACACAGTCATTTAAATAGAAGCAGTTGAAGGTGATATACAGCTTGATTATGTTGATGAAAAATGAAGATCCAGGTAGTACATTACTTTCTGGCAAAGAAGACCAGCAGCTTGTGTAGTGGGAACCCTGGTGACTAGTGAGGTAAAACCATAACCAGTAAGTTTTAGTTCCTAACACTGACAAGTCTTTTTGACAAAATTAAGTGCAACATCATGAACAAAAAACTCTCCAGTTATGACATTAATTTGTAATTTACAAGGGTCCTCAATACACAATCTACGGATTTCCAGCAGAAAATAAACTATCTTGACCCTCCTCTTCCAAACTGTGATTCCAAAATAATCAAACTATGTATCACCCTCAACTGTTTATTTTGGCAACTGCATGAACAGGCAGTCATATGGAGTGGCCAGGGCTCACCAACTGTGCAGTAATGGCTAACCTGTACATGAAGCACCTGGAGGAGAAGAGAGTGAGGCCATACATCCCTGGAGATTACATGGCTACATTATATGAATGCTGTCCTGATAACTATCCCTAGATGTCTGAGCACCACTGCATTCCTCAGTAGTATCAACTTCATGGAACTTTTTTTTTTTTTTTTTTTTGCAAGAATGGCCAAAAATTGCATTTCAAAATATACAGATAACTTGCAAACAAGGATGATCTACTACATTACTTCACTATTTATCACACCATGATGTGCATACTAAGGGAGGAGTCATCATAGGACTAAGAGAAGCAAAAATAACGTTTCTTTTATTAATGGCTTCCACACGGAAACAAATGAAATGCTTAGAGCTTTTACAGAAACCAACACTAGAGATGTGGACAGTGAATTCTAGATCCTACAATATAATTTGTATAGATGTGATAGTGAAAAAAGTTGCTGAAATGGATACAGTAGATTTTTATGTGAAAGAAGCCTAGTTGCACAAATCTGTTAAAATTATCAAATGATATGAGGGAAATGATTGGAATAAAAGCAGAAAACAAAAACCTGTTAATTATCCTCATACACAAACCACCAAACAGAATTGAAATAGATTAAGCAGAATTGTCGAGATGGTTGGTTTTTGTAAAAATAATGAAGAAAAATAATGAAGTGTGTATGGATCTGGGCAGGATAGAAGGATGTTTAGGAAGTGTAAAATTAAGAGTTGCAGGGTGATGTGAAAGCGGAGTTGAATATTCATATACGAGTTTAACAGACTAGAATGGATGGTTTATTTTACGTGGAGTGTGACTAAGGCAGGTTTTCAAAGGAGGGATGTATTATAGTACTGCTATATTACGTCCAAACATTGGTTTACTTATTATGTGCTCTGCTTCTGCAGCTAGGTGATTTTTAATAGATATCTGCTTTGAGATAAATCTTGCTGTCACTCGTGGTGAACTCTTTGATTACTAATTCTCCCTCATTACTTTTGAACATCAGGTCTCAGACCCATATCAAGCCTCAGGCTAGTACAATTTCATGAATCAATCTCATTTTGCTCATCTGCTGTAGCTTAGATTTTGACTTAGTAGTCATTCATGATCGCCAAGTTAGTGATATCCCCTCTGCCATTACCTCTCATGTGACTTACGTCCATCCTGTTATTTCACGGTTTCAGCTTGAACAAGTGGACTTCATGTTCTAACTTCCTGTCCCTCTGGGACCTTCCCCATTAATGAATTGCCGCATTTTTTTTCTTCTCTATACTGCCTCTATTGCCATCCAGCAAACTTAGGGGAAAGAATCACTATTGTTTGACCCTTGGTGGTGCCAAAATAGTTTCACGTTTTTCTTGATGACATTAAATAAGATGCTTGTTCTTTACAGGTCTCCGAGGGTTCTGACGCTCAGAGAGCAGGTTTGGAAGGGGATCTAAGTGATAGAGACAATGCTTCAGGTGATCTGTCCAACAATATCCACCAGTGTCCTGAATGCTCCTATTCTACCCCACGACATTATCTTTTAGTGAGACATCTTCGCACACACACTGGAGAGAGGCCATACCAGTGCCCTCATTGTCCCCATCGTGGAACTGATAAAGGCAATCTTAATGTTCATATTCGTACTCATACAGGAGAGAAGCCATTTGCCTGCAGTCTGTGTCCTGCTCGCTTTACTCAGAATGTCCACCTGAAGGATCATCTTTGTGTTCATACTGGAGAAAAGCCATATGCATGTCCACACTGTCCTTATCGTTGCACTAAACATAGTGGTTTAAGGAGGCATATTAAAACTCATTTCATGTTAGGCAATCAGAAAATGTGAAGATTAAAAGTATTAAAGATCCAATTGAGAACTAAGGATTTTTTGCTCTCCTTAGATGATAACTTATACAATCAATCATCCATTATCCAATAATCTATTATTTGGTATCCACCATTATCTGGCAGCCCTGTTAGATTAATTTTATTGGGCATACATCAGGTCTTGTTCGATTTAATTTATGTTTTAACAGTGAAACTAAAGCAATGTACTCAGATGAGTCTCTTTCTTTTCTCATTCTTCCTTCCCTCTTTCCTTTATCTTATTCTCTTACCTGCCTATCTTTCTCATATTCCTTCCCTCACATCATATTTGACAACACTGCACTGGCAGAAGAAATAAAGCTTCCTTCCTTTCTACTGCTCTCCTATTACATATCCTGTGACAATATTGCATGGGTAGCAGCATTAGTTCCTCCCTACCACTCACACGGTAACTGTCACAACATTCTTCACATATCCTCATTACCCTAACACTGTTAAGATGAGGGTATGAGGCACCCAGGCATGATGTGTGGGAAAGCTGTATTGAGTGTGGGAAGGTAGTACTGAAAACTAGTGGATGCACCAGGTTGTGTAGCAGCGACAGAGGGTGTTGTTAGTCTTATATGAGGTATGCTTCACACTCCAACTCTGGAGACACAATGAACACAGTCAACTAGCCATGAATACTGCACATTATAAATATGAAACCTATAGCTCTTGACCAATCTTTACCAAACAAATGATAGCTCACAACACATGTAAAACATGGAGATGCTAAGGGCATTCTTTGAATGAATGGAATAAAAAAAAGGATAAACAGTGAAACAAGCTTTTAAAATTCTCCTATGAGTGAGCAACATTTGAGCGTTTACATTTCATTGGAGATCTAAACAGCATTTAAGTTAATTGCAAACTTCTGTGAGGTGTGCATGATTATGTATATTTTGTAGATTTTTTCTCCATTTAAATGTAGATTAATGTACATAAGGTCAGCCATGTAATAGCTGAAAACTCAGTATAGTGGAAGGAGGCGCATCTTCCTGGCTCTTGTGGTTTTCAATTTTAAGGCTATATTTATAGATATATATAACTGAATCTGGGATACGATATAGATAACATGCAGTCTGTAAGAGAAACTAGTCTCTTCCAACCATTTCTTGATGCTCTTAATAATCTTGCCCCTTCCATTAAGTTTAAAGCTGAATGGGAATCTAATTCCTTGCTTCCTTTCCTTGATGTCCATGTCCACCGCTCAGACACAGGTTTTGCCTTTTCCGTTTACCGCAAGCCTATGCATAGTGGCATGTACATTCACTACTTTTCTTATCATGCTTCCTCTGTCAAGAAAAGTGCTCTTATCTCCCTCTTTCTCCATGCTCTTCGCATTTGTAATCCTCAGTTCTTTCAATCAGAAATTTCCAGTCTTCATAATTCATTTTCCCGTTTTGGCTACCATTATGTAGACTCTGCCTTCTCATGTGCTAAACACAATTTCTTCTCTCCCAAACTCTCTACTTCTGGAAACTCTTCTGTCCTCTGCCTTCCCTACATTTCCGGTCTTTCTAATCTCAACAACTCTCTCCATTCCTTAGACATAAAACTTATTTCCGCCAGACTAACACCCTCCACACCAATCTCGTTCATACCTCCTCCCTCTACAGATGTTCCTGGTGTCTACTCTATATTTTGTTCCTCCTATCCTCTTCAGTACTTCAGAGAAACTGGCCGATCTCTTTCTGACAGACTAAGGGAGCACAAAAATAGTGTTAGGCTTGCTGTCACATCAGAGATCACAGTCATCCTATTGACTGGTCTTCTGCTAAAACTGTCTTCCCTACTTCCAACTTTAACAGTCACCATCTGGTTGAATCCTCCCTAATACACAACTTTCCTTGTATGAATCTTAGTCCTGGCTTCGTCTCTGTAGATGCCTTCCTTTCCCACTACATTGTAAAATGCTCCAAACTTCAGAATGCCCGTGACTTAACCTGATTCCTCCTTTTTCTTCTTCTCCCTATTCCCCTTTCCTCTTTCTTTTTTCTCCTTTGGGTTGTCTTTCTTCTGACTTGCATATTTGTTCCTTCATTATTTATCTATTCCCCCCCCCCCCCCCCCCCGTGTTCTTGCTCTTACCCTCTGATCACCTAGCTCTCTTGCAGTGCTCTTCTTTCTTTGTATTTGACTGACTCCTCCTCCTCACTACTACTACTACTACTACTGCTACTACTGCTACTACTGCTACTACTGCTACTACTGCTACTGCTACTGCTACTACTACTACTACTACTAGCCTATATATACTCCCTTCTACTTTCCTTTTGTTAGTGTGACTTTGTAAATGGTCCAAGTCGGACTGAAATGTCGTCGTAAGCTCCTCTCATCTATGTGTGGGTTATCTGTGTACAGTAAACTTCCGATAAAACAGATTAATAGAGGTGTCTGCTCTAGCAAAAAAATCCATTATGTTCAAAGTTTTGATTAAGTGGATGTAGTCTACTTAATCGATCAACTACTGGACATGGGCAAATGCCCAATAAAACAGACATAGTCCACTTATTTGATGGACTACTGGAGATACAGTGGACCCCCGGTTAACGATATTTTTTCATTCCAGAAGTATGTTCAGGTGCCAGTACTGACCGAATTTGTTCCCATAAGGAATATTGTGAAGTGGATTAGTCCATTTCAGACCCCCAAACATACACGTACAAACGCACTTACATAAATACACTTACATAATTGGTCGCATTGGGAGGTGATCGTTAAGCGGGGGTCCACTGTACTAAGAATAAACAGTAGAGTACAGTACAGTAATTTTTTTTACCTTTTCTGGTGGACAGATTAGCTTACAGATGTATATGTGGTACAGTATTTCCATGAGGTCTAGTGATGACCCAGAATAGCTTATTCCGAGTCACTGAAGCTATAAAGCTCCAACAGTAACACTGCAGATGGTGAGGGAGATATAGATGGTATAGGAGATGTAGATGGTTCAGCAGATGTAGATTCTTGAGGAAAAGTAGATGACTAAGGTTGACTGGCTAGTATCTACATTGTGTCAGCTTTTCCTTGCTTCTATAAATATCAGACACTTTTGCTACACCATACTCCTAACATGTCCAGGCCACTGAAACACCAGCCTCCAGCTTCTTTATTAATTTAAGTTTCTGCTTAACAGTTAAGGTCACATGCTTCCTTTTAGCACCATCACTTGTTAATTCAGAGGACATTGTTAATAACAATGTACATGACACTTTCATAAAATGATTGAAAACAGTGTTAATCAGGAGAAAATTGGAGATGAAATGACAGTGGCACGAGCAAGCACACAGACAATAATAAACTGACGTGGGCAGTCACTGGCCTTGCTGCCCTGGAACAATGAAAATAGATGTGTCCAGGATAAATCTTGGACCATACAAACTTGTGATATCAGTCCATTTTATCAAACACATGACTGGACTGGATAGCTATCTGATATAGTGGATTTGGTCTGCTTCTTGGCAATTTTAATTGGACACCCATTAAATGTTGAGCCTCTGCCTGGCCAGAGTTTTTTCTGTCCATGTTAGCCAATGTCCATTTATAGAGGTTATTTTATGAGACATTTACTGTATTTAGGGAAAACTAAAATTGCCTTGTTTTTTATCAATATATTGGGGTGAATTTTTCCCATCTTTTTCATAGTCATTATGAAAAATGACATTAATGCAATTTTTGTGTGTTATTTGCAATTCAGTTGGGTGATTTTTTGTAAATATTATCAACTGGGACATTTCAGAACATCCAGGTAAACCATAAACACAGCTCCCTCTACCTCAGTGGATGAGTGCATGGCTGTCATGAAATACGTATTACAATATACATGCATGTGCATATGTATGCTCATGTAGGTTTATATATATACTTTTGGACACATGCGAGTGCATACACGTGTGCATGAATGCATTTGCATAAACTGTATATGCCTATGTGGTGTACATATGTATATGTTTAGATGTGTGTACAAATGTACACTTGTACATATGTTTACATATACATTCATTTGCATTTATGTATGTGTGCATATTACTGTACATACGGTGTGCATATACTGCATCTACACAGTACTGGATTTAGTCATGCTGGCCCTCACTATGTGATTAATTACTACCATTATTATTGTTATTCCTGGTACTTCTGTGACTACTACTAATTATATAGCTGCAACATTTCGTGGTTAAAACACGAATGCTGAGTATTGTAAATACAAGAAAAATCAGCTACTAGATTAATTTTTTATTATAACATATATTATTTAACAAAATAGAAGCCATTCACAGGAGGCATAGTCAAGACATGCAGTGGAAAAAATACCACACTACAGTAGTCCCCCCACAGATAGCAGCAAACCCTATAAGTTGTTTTTTGTTTATATACATACCTATGATAAAGTTTAATTGATAATTATGCATAATAAGACATTTTTTCAACACGTCGGCCGTTTCTCACTGTGGCAGGGAACCCAATAAAAAGAAACACTCTCACCATCATTCACATAATCACTGTCTTTGTAGAGGCACTCAGATACAACAGTTTAGATGTCACTCCAAACAGCCAATATCCCAAACCCCTCCTTAAACCCTTTCAGGGTTTCGGCCATACTAGTACGGCTTACGAGCCAGGGTTTTTGACGTACTAGTATGCCTAAATTCTAGCGCCCTCAAATCTAGTGAGAGAAAGCTGGTAGGCCTACATATGAAAGAATGGGTCTATGTGGTCAGTGTGCGCAGTATAAAAAAAATCCCGCAGCACACAGTGCGTAATGAGAAAAAAAAAAACTTTGACCGTGTTTTTGGATTAAAACAGCGACTTTGCATTGTATTTTTGTATGGTATTTATTGTTGTATTCTAGTTTTCTTGGTCTCATTTTATAGAATGGAAGACATATTACAGAAATTGAGATGATTTTGACTGGTTTTACAAAGAAAAGTACCTTGAAATTGAGCTCAAAGTAGCAGAAATGTTCGATTTTTACCAAAGTTCAAAAGTAAACAAATCGTGCTATGAGTCCAATACACGTCAACTGGTGAGTCTAATATTCTTTCACAAGTGCGCTAATATTATTTATACTATTTCTACACTAATGCAGTATTCTGCATAACAGTAAATCTTCTATTTTTTTGTGAGAATAAAAATTCAAAGTGTAAAGCAAAAGAATGTAAGAGGGGAATGGGGACGTGACTAATGAACAGAGGAAATGTTATTTTAGTGCCAGGAATGTCTTTCTTGTTTATTCTGGACCCTATTTGGAAATTGGCATCTTTTGAAATTTGTGTGAAATTGGCAAAATTGCTAAATTCCAACCACTGTATTGGATAGTTGAAATCGGTAAATGAGTGGTTTCTTGTACTCATTCGATAGAAAAAATGGAATTCTAGCAAAGTAGTTATGACTTTTGTCGACAAGTACACCTACCATCCGACTTACGACCGAGTTCGGTTCCAAGAAACCAGTCGTAAGTCGAAATGGTCGTAAGTTGAATTTTACTACTGAATATCAACAAAACATTTTTGTAATGACTTTATTTTATTGTTTTATTTGGTATTTCATGTTTTACTTTACTTTTTATGCTGTTAGTACTGTATTTTATACTGTAAGGTTTAGGATAAACACTGTGTACAACACAAATAGTTGTTTATTTCCCAGAAATTTGGCATAAAAAACTTGGTCGTAAGTCGAGTGGTCGTAAGTTGAGCAGGTCGTAAGTCAGATGGTAGGTGTATACTGGAATTGGCCGAAAATAGGGCTCAAAGTGGGCAAAATCGCCAATGCGTAAACATCGTCGAGACCGCTAACTTCGCGAGAGCATAATTCCGTAAGTTTTCCATCAAATTTCATACTTTTGGTGTCATTATGATTGGGAAAAGATTCTCTATCTTTTCATAAGAAAAAATAATTTTTTTTTTTTTTGAAACTTGGCCGACCCTGAGAACAAGTCTCTGAGAGGGCCTGTCGAGCCTGAAAGGGTTAAAGTGCAGGCACTGTACATCCCACCTTCAGGACTCAAGTCTGGCTAACCAGTTTCCCTGAATCCCTTCACAAGATGCTACCCTGCTCACACTCCAACAGTTTGTCAGGTCCCAAAAACCATTTATCTCCAGTCACTCCTACCTAACACACTTACACACACACACACCTGCTGCATGTCCAAGCCCCTTGCACACAAAACCTCTTTTACTGCCTCCATCCTGTCCTAGGATGACCACTACCCCTTCTCCCCTCCACTACAGATTTATACACCCTCCAAGTCATCCTATTTTGCTCCATCCTCTCTAAATAACCAAACCACCTCAACAACTCTTCTTTAGCCCTCTGAATAATACTTTTAGTAACTCCACACCTCCTAATTTCCACACTACAAATTCTCTGCATAATATTTACACCACACATTGCCCTTAGACACGACATCTCCACTGCCTCCAGCCTCCTCCTTGCTGAAACATTTACAACCCATGCTTTACACCCTTCTTTGCCTCCATGGATAACATTTTTTGTTTCCACAGATACCTCAGTGCACCACTCACCTTTTTTCCTTCACCAATTCTATAGTTAACCTCATCCTTCAAACCCATCCACTGACAAGCCTACTCCCGAATATCTGAACACATTCACTTCTTCCATACTCCCTCCCACCAATGTAATATACAATTTTTCTTTACCTAACTCATTTGATACCCTCATCACCTTACTCTTATCTATGTTCACTTTCAACTTTCTTCCTTCACACCCTTTCCCAATCTCATCCACTAATCTTTGCAACTTCTATTTGGTTATTATTATATTGATGGGGGAGCGCTAAACCCGTAGGGATTATACAGCACCTGTTGGTAGGGGGGCTGGAAGGTATTTGGCTCAATTCAGGGAAAACTTCTATTAGAATTTCCAAAAAGCTCAGTAACATCATCAAAAAGTAACTGTGTCAACTCCCATTCTGTATTTGATTCTCCATAATTTAATCCCACCCCTCTCCTCAACACCCTAGCATTAACTTTTTTACTACCCCATCTATAAATATGTTAAACAACCTTGGTGACATTACATATCCCTAAGGCCTACTTTTACTGGAAGGTAATCTCCCTCTTTCCTACACACCCTAACCTGAGCCTATCTTTATAAAAATTCTTTACAGCATTTAGTAACTTACTACTTATTCCATAACATCTGCCACATTGCTCCCCTATCCACTATCATATGCCTTTTCTAAATCCATAAATATAAAGAAAACTTCCCTACCTTTATCTAAATACTGTTCACTTATATGTTTCAATGTAAACACTTGTTCGTGTGCAGTCCTGCTCTCTGTCTTACCTCTAATTCTTTCAATAATAACCCTACCATACACTTGACCTGGTATACTCAGTAAATTTATTCCCATATAATTTTTGCAATCTCTTTTGTTCCCTTTCCCTTTATATAAAGGAACTATACACCCTCTCTGCCAATCCCTAGGTACCTTCCCCTCTCTCATACATTTATTGAACAAAAGTACCAACCACTCCATTTCTGTCATGATCCCATCAGTTCCAGCTGCGTTACCCCCTTTCATTCTACCTAATGCCTCATGCACCTCCCCCACACCCACATCCAGCTCTTCTTCACTCCTAAAATATGTTATACCTCCCTGGCCAATGCATAAAATTACTGCCTCCCTCCCTTCATCAACATTTAACAGTGCCTCAGAATATTCCCGCCATTTTCCTAATACCTCCAACATCCCATCTACTACTACCCTATTCTGTTTTTAACTCAGATCCATTTGTTCCCTAGGCTTTCTTAAGCTATTTATCTCACTACAAAATTTTTTCTTAATCTCAGCCAAATTTGTTGACAACGTCTCGCCCACTTTTGTCATTGTGGTTGTATACGAGCCTCCGGATGCAACTTCCCAGCAATTCTGGGAACAGCTTTTGAAAACTGACCACTGTCTGGAAAATCTCCTAACTCCTGCCCCAAACATCTTGCTACTGGGAGATATCAACTTGAGACACCTAAAATGGAGGAGTGCAGCAAATAATATTTTAGCAGAGATCACCCCAGGAGGCAGCGCAGATGAAAATTCACACACACACGAGCTATTAAATCTCTGCACCAAATTCACCTTAAACCAGCAAATATTAGAGCCTACAAAATTTGAAAATACACTGGACCTCATCTTCACTAACAGTGACGAACTGATACGTAATATGTATAACCACATCAAAGACAATACACTCAGATCACAACAGACATGTAAGCACAGGGCTCCTGACCAGCAAAATGTGATCAGTCATGAGGGTGTCTTCACAAAATTCAACTTCAGTAACAAAAACACATTGGGAACAAATCAACCATGTCCTAAATGAAACATGATGTGAAGATATCCTAAACAACATGGATCCAAACCTTCGCCTAGAAAAAACAAATTGTGATTCTTGAGATCTGCTCAATGCACATTCTGTTAAGCAAATGAAAGAGAAGATGTAAACTAGAAAGAGAGAGACACTTCCTGTACAGACGAAGGCAAAGAGTCACAGAGCTCCTGAGAGGGGCCAATATGTCTGAAATACGAAGGGAGGCACTGGTCAATGAAATTGCAAATATCAGACTTTAGCTGAAGGAATCTTACAAGAGACAAGAATTGCAGAAAGAACTAAAATCCATAAAGGAAATTGAAAAAACAAAAACAAAATACTTCTTCTCTTATGTCAAATCTAAGGGGAAAAACAACATTCAGTATTGGGCCCCTGCTTAGGCGAGATAAGACATACACAGATGACAGCCAAGAAATAAGTGAGATAATAAAGTCCCAATATGACTCATGTTTAGCAAGCAGCTACCCAGACTAAGGGTTGACAGTCCAGATGAATTCTTTATGAATGAGACCCAAACTTTGGTCATCTCAAAAATCTTGGATATTATCCTAACACCACAAGACTTTGAAAAGGCAATAAATGACATGCCCATGCACTCTGAACCAGGCCCAGACTCATGGAATTCCATGTTCATCAAGAACTGCAAGAAGCCACTGTCACGTGCCTTCAGCATTCTATGGAAAGGGAACATGGACACGGGTCATCCCACACTCACTAAAAACAACAGACATAGTCCCACTCTACAAAGGTGGCAGTAAAGCAGTTGCAAAGAACTACAGACCGATAGCACTAACATCCCATATCATAAAAATCTTTGAAAGGGTTCTAAGAAGCAAGATTGCCAACCACCTAGATACCCATCAGTTACACAACCCAGGGCAAAATGGGTTTAGAGCAGGTCATTCCTGTCTGTCTCAGCTACTGGACCACCATGACAAGGTCCTGGATGCTGTAGAGGATAGCAAAATGCAGATGTAGTATACACAGACTTTGACAGGTGTGACCATGGTGTAATAGTGCACAAAATGCGTGATAAAGGAATAAGAGGAAAAGTTGGTAGATGGATCTATAACTTCCTGACAAATAGAACACAAAAAGTAATAGTAAACAGAGTAAAGTCCGAGGCAGCTACGTTGAAAAGCTCTGTTCCACAAGGCACAGTACTCACTTCCATCCTATTCGTCATCCTCATATCTGACAAACAAGAGGTGTAAGCCATAGCTCCGTGTCTTCCTTCCCGAATTGCCATGGCAGTGACCTCCTTCAAAAACACCACAAAAGTCCAAGCAAACATAAACCAAATCTTCAAATGGGCCACTCAAAACAATATGAAGTTCAATGAAGAGAAATTTCAAGTACTCATATATGGAAAACTTGGGGAAATTAAAACTGTATCAGGGTATGCAACAAATTCCATCCATACAATAGAATGAAAAAGTAATGTGAAGGACCTGGGAGTGATAATGTCAGAGGATCTTGCCTTCAAAGACCACAGCAATGTATCTACCACATCTGCTAGGAAAATGAGAAGATGGATAATAGAGCTTTCAAAACTAGGGACGCCAAGCCCATGATGATTCTCTTCAAATCGCTTGTTCTCTCTAGGCTGGGATACTGCTGTACACTAACTGCCCCCTTCAAGGCAAGTGAAATTGCTGACCTGGAGAGTGTACAAAGAACTTTCACAGCACACATAAGTACCATAAGGCACCTAAATTACTGCTCCCAACTCAACCAATTATGTAAGTGTATTTTTGTAAGTGCTTTTATAAGTGTATTTTTGAGGGTCTGAAATGAACTAATCTAATTTACATCATTCCTGATGGGAATAAATTCGTTCGGTAACGGCACTCAAACAGCCATCTGGAATGAAGAAAGTTCGATATTTGAGGTTCCACTGTACTGGGAATGGTTGAAGTCCCTGGAATGCAGGCGAGAGAGATACATGATATTACTATACACTTGGAAAATCCTAGAGGGATTAGTACCAAACTTGCACATGGAAATAACTCAAAATGAATGCAAAAAACTCAGCAGGAGATACAGCATTCTTCCATCTCTCTTCCTCCTCCTCTGCAGCAAGATTTTGAGCTGCGATCTGTTGCTGTTCCTGCTGAAGCTCTTGCAGCTCCTCAGTGGTTAGCTCTTCATTGTGGTCTTCCACCAACTCTTCCACATCCTCCAAACTCACATCCAACCCCATGGAACTCCCCAATGCCACAATAGATTTCACAATTGACATAGGCTCATCAGGGTCAGCCACAAACCCTTCAAAATCCCTCTTGTGGACACAATCTGGCCACAATTTTCTCCAAGCAACAACAGCTTCCTTGATTTTCTTTTTCTTTGCCACGATGGAAGATATGGTTGTGTGGAGTTTGTTATACATCCTGGCCAGTTCAGCCACATGTACGCCACTTTCATATTGTTCAATGATGTTTTTCTTAAATTCAATCGTATTTCTCACCTTTACCAAAGGCTTGGCACTAGGAGCTTTCTTTGGAGCCATGGTAGCTTATTTAGCACTTGCAAGCACTAAAATGAATGGAATATTATGAAATATTTCGTATGAACAAGTGAGGGGGCCGTCGCTCACTGGTAAACAATGCCACACTGGCTGGGAAGGGAGGCCGAGGTGGCTCAGAGCCGTGAGTATGCATCCAGGACGAATGGCGATTATCGAGTCAACCAACCATTTGCGAGCCAATGTTCGGACGAAAATAACGCAATGATTTCCAAAAAGGATGACTATCGAGCCCGACGATTATCGAGGGATCACTGTACTACTCACCTCTTGCCCTACATTAAGAGTACAAATATTTTAAGGTAAGTAATGAGTGTACTGTGTGTGTATTTTACTTTTTATTGTTTATAATGCCTAGTTCTATTGCTAACTTAATTTATGTTAGTGTAAATTTGTTATCTGGCATTTGTAAGTGGAAAAAATGTCATTCAGCTTTCCGGCGATGTCCACTTTCCGGCAGTAGCCTGGAACCTAACTTGCCATATAAGTGGGGCCTTACTGTATCTACAACTAAATAATGATCCGATATATCTGTTGCCCCTCTATAAACATGCACATCTTGAAATCTAACCATCAACCTTTTATCTATCAGTACATAATCTAACAAACTACTTTCATTACATGCTATATCATGTACTTATTTATCCTCTTTTTCTTAATTTATGTATTACTTATTACCAAACCTCTTTCTATGCAGTGGACCCTTGACCAATGGCATTAATCTGTTCCAGAGAGCTAGCCGTTAGTCGAATTTGCCGTTAATCGAATTAATTTTCCCCATAAGAAATAACGGAAATAGAATTAATCCGTTCCAGACACCCAAAAGTATTAAACAAAATAATTTTTTACGTGAAATACACATTTCCCTATACAAAAATGAATGGGACATGCAATATAAACAGTAATTAAATGCCACTTACCTTTATTGTGGAGCTGTTGATGAGTGATGTGCCAGCAGCAGGGGAGATTGAGGTCTTTTATTGTTTGGAAGGGGAATCCCCTTCCATAAAGACTTGAGGTACTAAGTCCTTTGGTGGGGTTACCTTCCTTCTTGGTTTTCTAATGTCACTAGGACCAGCTTGAGAGTCACTGGACCCCTGTCGCACCAAAAATCTGTCCAGAGAGCTCTGTTTCTCACGTGCCCTTAGGATTTCCCTAAAATGGGACACAAGTGTCATTGTATATGTTGCCAATACAGCTTGCAACAGCTGTGACAGGATAAAATTCATCCATAAATGCTTGCACCTTTGTAAACATTGTACACATTTCCCTAATCCTTGACGAAGATATCTTTCTCCGTCTCTCTTCCTCCTGCACTGAAGAACATTCCTGAGATATGATCTGCTGCTGTTGCACCTGAAGCTCTTGCAGGTCTGCAGTGGTTAGTTCTTCCTCGTCATTCTGCACCAAGATAGTACTGATGGTTGAATGGGCATACGCACTCCACTTTCGTATTTTTCAATGATCCCTTCTTCATTTCCATCGTAATTCTCACCCTTTTTACCACAGGCTTGGCACCAGAAGCTTTCTTGGGGCCCATGGTGGCTTATTTAGCAGTTACAAGCACTAAAAACACTGGAATAATACAAAATATATCGCAAAGTACACGTGGGATCGACCGCAACGGCTTGTAAACAATGGCACACTGAGTCTTGGAGTGGCTGGGCCCGCTCAGGCTGCGCTCCGGCCGCATGGACACATTCGGGACGAACGCCATTAGATGAGTTTTTTGCTGTTGGTGGAGTAATTTTTTTACGCCAAAGAGCACCGCTAGACGAATTTGCCGTTACTTGATGCTGCCATTAGTTGAGGGTCCACTGTACATATCTCAATTAAAGGACCTCATTTTCATTTACCCCTGGCACCCCAAACTTACCTACTACTCCATACACAAAAGTTTTACCCACTTTAGCATTTAGGTCCCCCACCACAAGTGCATACATTGTACATTATTATTATTCATTCATTCATTCTCTCTCTCATGAATAAATTAATAAATGGGATTCTGACATTTTAACTTAACCCTCAAGGGACAATGGAGCAAGGAAAAATATCTTGTACACAGTTTAAATACCTTTACATTTATTTCTTAACCCCTTGACTGTCGCAACCCTGAATCTTCAGGTGTCTCCTGGTGTTGCAAAATTTAAAAAAAAAAAAATTATTTTTTCTTATGAAATGATCTTTTCCCAATTGTAATGACACCAAAAAAAAAAAAAATCTGATGGAAAACTGAATTACGCTCTCGGGAAGTTAGCGACCTCGGCGATATTTAGAAATTGGCGATTTTGCCCACTTTGAGCCCTTTCTGCAGCTAATTCCATTGTTCCAGTCGACCAAACTCATAGCTATTTCTTTAGAACTCTATTTTTTCTATCGAGTGAGTACAAGAAACTGCCCATTTACCGATTTCAACTACCCAGTAACGTGGTCAGAAATTTGCAATTTGGTCAGTTTCACAAAAATTAAAAAATGTGACAATTTCAAAATAAGGTCCAGAATGAACAATGCAGACATTCCTGGCTTTAAAATAGCATTTTCGTTGTATAACAGTCACGTCTCGAGGCCCCTCTGATATAACTCTTGCCTTTCTATTTTGAATTTTTATTCTAACAAAAAATAGAAGATTTATTGTTATGCAGACTACTGCAATACTATAATAATTGTACAGATAATGTCAGCCCATTCATGACTGCATATTAGAATTGCTAGTTGGACATTTATTGGACAATGACATCATTTGTTTACTTTTGAACATCAGCAAAAATTAAGAATTTCCCCTACTTTGAGCTCCATTTCCAGGTTCTTTTTATAGTAAAACCAATCAAAATCACCTCTATTTCTATAATATGTTTCCATTCTATCAAATGAGACCAAGAAAATGAGAATAATTTTTACCACATGAAATATTAATTTTAATACACACAAACTGAAGAAGACATGTACAATTACATGACACTTACCTTTATTGAAGATCTGGTGATGATTGATGGGATGGGAGGAGGGGAGAGTGTGGATGGTGTTAGTGTTTAGAAGGGGAATCCCCTTCCATTAGGACTTGAGGTGTCAAGTCCTTTTCCGGGGTTACTTCCCTTCTTCTTTTAATGCCACTAGGACCAGCTTGAGAGTCACTGGACCTCTGTTGCACAACATATCTGTCCATAGAGGCCTGTACCTCCCGTTCCTTTATGACATTCCTAAAGTGTTTCACAACATTGTCAGTGTCACAATTAAACACTTGTTCAATTTTCAATTCTTTACTGTCTATGTACTCCTTGAATTCCTGCATATATTTTTCAGCTGCTTTTTGGTCTGAACTGGCAGCCTCACCATGCCACTATGATTCTTAAATCTCTCAAACCAACCTTTGCTGGCCTTAAATTCACTCACATCACCACTAGTTGCAGGCATTTTTCTAATTAAATCGTCATGCAACTTCCTAGCCTTTTCACATATGATCGCTTGAGAGATGCTATCTCCTGCTATCTGTTTTTCGTTTATCCACACCAATAACAGTCTCTCAACATCTTCTATCACTTGCGATCTCAGTTTCGAAAACATAGTTGCACCTTTGGCAAGAACAGCTTCCTTGATTGCTGTTTTCTTGGCCACAATAGTAGCAATGGTTGATTGGGGTTTTGTTTACAACCTGGCCAGCTGGAGATATGCACTCTACTTTCATACTTAGCAATGATCTCTTTCTTCATATCCATAGTAATTCTCACCCTTTTTGCTCTAGGGTTGGCACTAGAAGCTTTCTTGGAGCCCATGGTGACTTATTTTGCAGGTGCAATCACTAAAAACACTGTGATAATATGAAATGTTCTGATTGTATGTTTGGATGGGACCACGGTGGCTGGCTGGCTTGAAAACACTGGCCACAAGTGGACGCGTCTCGAACGGAACGAATTGTGTTGGTCGAGTTTTTAAGCGCTAGTCGAGGCAAAATTTTTGCGTTAAGATGTATCGCTAGTCAGATTTAACGTTAGACGATGCCATCGTTGGCCGAGGGTCCACTGTACTTGTTTACCGATGACTCGGGCTTACGACAGGCTCTCTGACCAGTATGCATACCTAAATAATGTATATTAGAGTTGATTTTCTCTATGCTGTTTATTACAATATACAGTACATTACTGTATAAACATTTTAAAATACAGTGGTACCTCGGGATACGAATTTATTTTGTTCCAGAAGGCTGTTCGAGTGCCAATACCAAATGAATGTGTTCCCATAAGGAATAATGTAAATTAGATAAATCCATTTCAGACCCCCAAAAATACACTTACAAAAGCACTTACAAATACACTTATACAGTGGACCCCCGCATAACGATCACCTCCGAATGCGACCAGTTATGTAAGTGTATTTATGTAAGTGCGTTTGTACGTGTATGTTTGGGGGTCTGAAATGGACTAATCTACTTCACAATATTCCTTATGGGAACAAATTCGGTCAGTACTGGTACCTGAACATACTTCTGGAGTGAAAAAATATCGTTAACCGGGGGTCCACTGTATAATTGTTCGAGTTTTGAGCTGTTCATATCCCGAGGTACCACTGTATACTAAACATGTTAAAATGGTGCAAAGATGACATTAAAGCAATATCAAAGATGGTTGACATAAACCCACTACCATTATAGTATGCTCCTCATTTAGCGACGAATTCATTTACCGATGCAGTATTAGGAAGAGATCTATGTCGTTAAGTGAGGAGAGGCTGTATTCAAGAAAACAGGGTCAAGCATATTACTTGGGAGAAAACATTTCCTTTGTATTTTTTTGAGAGCGACTGATGCTGTTCATCTGCAAAAGCATACGAAAGGAGTATTGTTCTACACTTCTTCTGCAGTCCCCCCCCTGCCCCCTTCATAAACACAGATTCTCTAGTTGAAGTGGGTCAGAGAGAACATAATACTATAGTCATCAGCGCAAACTCCAGTATGTGCTTGCGGGTACCACATCTCACTATTAAGACAATTTCCTTCCTTATGGCTGTTTGTATTAGGTTTTTATATGTAGTATGTTTCTTATATAATTCTGAAATATTAAAATTGTCAATAATTGCCTTAATACGGTATATGACTTTATAGTTTCCCAGAGCGACATCTGGAACAAGCTCCACCCACTTTGTAAAGAAAAAAGAATTGCTGAAAAATTCACTACACATGCCAGAATATACAGGTTGCCCATCACTAATCCAGCAGTCACTAATCTGGCACTAATTTCCACTAGCGTACTTTCAAATTTCCTGGGTCACCTCACCAACCTGCTGCCACTTGCTGCATAAACACTGTTGGTGTCACTTGCAAACACAGTCAAGCCATTCCAAACTTTAGCCAACTTTGTGGTGTATTTTCATATGCTTTTTATTGTTGTATTCTCAGTTATTTGGTCTCATTTGATAGAATGGAAGATATATTACATAAATAGAGATGATTTTGACTGGTTTCAGGATGGAAAGTACCTTGAAATTGAGCTCTAATTATCAGAAAAGTTCAATTTTTGCTAACGTTCAAGAGTAAAAACTCACATCATGCATCCAATACATGTCTAACTGGCCGGTCTAATATGCAGTCATGAATGGGTTGACATTATTTATACAATTATTACAATAATGCAGTAGTCTGCATAACAGTAAATCTTTTGTTTTTTGTGTGAATAAAATTCAGAATGGAAAGCAAGCATAACGTAAGAAGGGCCTGGAGACATGATGTTATTTTAGTGTCATGAATGTCTGCAATGTTTATTCTGGACACTATTTTGAAATAGTCATCTCTTGAAATTTGTGTGAAATTGACCAAATTATCAATTTCTGATCACTTCATTGGGTAGTTGAAATAGGTAAATGGGTGGTTTTTAGTACTTAGTCAACAGAATAGAAGGAATACTAGCAAAATAGCTATGAGTATAGTCAACTGGAACAGTGGAATTGGCCAAAAATAGGGCATAAAGTGGGCAAAATCGCTGATGCGTAAATATCGCTGAGGCCGCTAACTTTGCGAGAGCATAATTCTACTAGTTTTCTATCAAATTTTGTACTTTTGGTTTCAATACCTCCAGAAAAAGATTCTCATTTCATAAGATAATTTTTTTGAAAATTTTTCAACACTGGGAGCAAGCTTGCGAGCAGGGATTGTGACAGTGAAAGGGTTAACCAACTTATGCTGACTTACGGGGTATTTTAAAGGTAGTATGAGGTGGTTAGCTGTTGGGTTAAGTGTATTCTAACCTAACCTCTCTGTAATCTGGCAAAAATCACTAATCTGGCAACCTACAGGTCCTGATGATGCTGGATTAGTGGTGGTCAGCCTGTACTGTGACATCATCACAATATTGAAGTGACTATAATTTTCTGTAGAAACATTGTGTAAAGATGAAATTTACACCAAAATGTTTCCAGATTGTTGAACCATTTTTTGGCAAGTTTAATTCATTTTTTTAATTTTTTTGAATATTTTTGATGGTTTTTCGTGCCCACCTTTTAATTAAAAAATATCTTAACCTATTTTGGGTACTCACTGGTTTCTCCATTCTTTGTTGTTGCTGCAATGATATAATGATGTTACAGTCATACAGTGCCTACAATGCGAGATGAGGCGAGGTGAAGGTTTAGGCATTGTGATGTTGCGTTATTCTATTGACCTTCTGACGAAAAGACATCATGAGGAGGAAGAAGACAGAGAGCCACGTTTCTCAGAACGGTGCGCATTTTGAAACTTATGAATCATTTATTTCTGGAATTTTCCATTTAATATTTCTGGGCCATGGTAAGCCGCAGATAACTGAAACCAAATCCACGGATATGGGGTTCTACTGTATTTTTTAAATATAAATGGTCAAATTGGCACATACACTGCAATAATCCCAACCAGTGTTGAAAGCCAATCTGAAGTGGCTTTCTCAAATCATCATTCAGAGACCCAAACCATGAATGATCTACATAACACTGCAGAAAGCATCTGCACATGCCATTAGTTGCATGAACCAAAATTGAAAACTTGTATTTAATGAAATAAGTTGCTCTTCTGCTGTGTTGCACATATATGTATGTTAAATTTAGTAACTAACTTACTAATGAATCTGAAGATGAGCTATGGTGTGCATGCAGTTAAACTACGACAATGTTTCAGGACAAATACCATTATCCTAATACAAAAAGTATCCATTTTTCTATTTGTCATCTCAGTGTTCTCTGAGAAATGGGGCCCTAAAATTAATAAAATCTTGTACACATTTCAACAGTTATCTGGCATTGTTTATTTTTAGCTTTTATGAAATTAAATTTATCTTAGCATCATTTATTGCCACTCTTGAACATCATAGGTCTTCCTCTAATATGTGACATTTTAGAAAATTTGGTGCACCATCCTTTCCTTTCCTAGAGCTGGATAATGGGTGATTTACTGTAATAACATATTGTCATTTAACACATTTATTCATATAAATAGTTGACACAAGTTACACAGGGGCAGTGAGGTGTGACAGAGAGTAACTCCTCAGGAAGCAACTCCTATTACTGTTGTGACAGAGACAAGTTATGTAGAACAAACTTTTATCAAACACATTTCACTCAGGAGCGAGCCTTCTATGAGTTGGTAAAGCTCAGTTCTCAGCAAAACATGCTAAATAAAGTTTTGCTCTACATTACATGTCTTTCTAGCCACTTGTCAGAGTGTTGCCTCATCAGCAACATTGTGACATGATTCTTGATGTGCTAACCTAACACAAATGATATCTTCTGGCATGAACTTATTTTTGTAAACTTATTGTTGCATTATTAGCATTGTTATGTATGGTATGTCAACATATGAACATTAAAATAATGCCTGAATGTGTATACTATTACAATTAAATATCTTAGTCCCCCTAATAAATTTAACTTGACAGTGTACTGCATATTCTACTAGGACACTAGTATGGCACAGTCAGTGACATATTGTATACTTTACATGACTGAAGATGTAGTACACTACAACATTATTATAATTTGTATAACAGTTCCTGAATTAATGAAAAGTAATTTACATCTAGTATAGTAATTTCATAAAAGTTAAATTTCACTGGTGTTTCTTTTATAAGGTACAGGTACTTACTTAAAACCAAATTAAAAATATTATTTTTCTCAGTTACTTTTTATGAAATGCATTAATAAATATGTATGTTTATTTAATGCATACACTGAGAGCTCACATTTGTTTGGTAGAGACTGGTAAAGAACTATATAACTTGAATATTCATGATTTTCTAGAGGCTGAATTTCACATATTTTTCTTTAGTTTTTTGCAGAGAGCATTCTTATTCTGTGTATGTTTGTTTATGTATATATTGAAAGGTCACATTTGTTTGGTAAGGACTGGTCAAGAATTATATAGATTTAATATTTATTATTTTCTTAAGACTGAATTATAATATTTATATCTGTTAGTTTTTACAAAAGGCATTCATATTTTGTGTATGTTTATTTTATGTATATATAGAAAGCTCACATTTGTTTGATAGATATTGTTCAAGAACTATATAGATTTAATATTTATGATTTTCTTAAAGCTGTGGTAGCCACCAGTAGTTGCTACCCACATACTGGACCTGTCAGTGTGAGGTGCCGGAAAGCAGTAGCTTGCCACATCCTTCCTCACACATTTATACGTACTTATCACTACCATCCTAATTCCCCCACCCTCCATCCTCACCCTGTTATTTCCTCTACACCTTTCCTAACCTTTCCCCATTCCATCCCCTCCCCTCCAGACAACATAGCTGCTGCTTGCCCCTACACATATGTACTATACTGTTTTGTAACTCTGTTCTGTTTATGAAACAATATTTAATACCTGTACTGTTTGTCAGTGAAGATGGACATTACTGATAGTAATATATTAGTTAAAATGGATGAAACTAGATACAGAATGTTGTGGCTCAGGAATGCATCTATTATTATAACAACTGGTGTCTATGGGAAAATGGGTTTCGAGTTTAGAATCATCAGCACATGAATAGTTTTCAGGAACGAATTCAGGTCATAAGTCGGGGACCTGTAATGTTATACAAACCAAAAATTTTTTTAGAATGGAATTGATAACTTCTTTATAAACTATTGTATAGAAAAAGTACTGCATATGTATATACATTAGGGCTGTTTGATAATTGTTTTGACATCAATATTGTTACAAATGCTCCCGACTTTCTCTTAATCCTTATATATATATATATATATATAAAATCTTTATTTTCCAAGAAGATATAAACAAAATGATTTTATTGAAAATATTTTACACTAGTAATTACTTATATAAACGAGTCCCAAGTTATGTAATGCATTTCAAGTAAGTAGATTAAAACTCAACTTAAAAGTGCTTGACTGATTAACTCAAGAAGATAGATTATGTAAAATAAAGGTAGCCTAACTAATTTGTCTAAAGACTGTCAATGAAATGCTTGTTATAAATAAAAACATTGTCTATTTTTTTTTAATAGGAAAAAAGAGCATATAGTACCCAGGTGTCCCCAATTATTTTAATATGGCACACAGTGAGTGTGCACACCCATTCTCTCATGTCTAGGCGACTCAGGCTTATCGTGGCAATGTTGAATGAATGACAAAGAAAACGTATATATACGTTTGGGGCGCTACGCGAGAGAACGTATATATACGTTTGGACCGTTCAGGGGTTAATAAAATACCATAACCTGGGACACAAAAATTAATTAAAAAATAGATATAATAGGATAACATAAATAGCCAGACAATGGGCAAGTGTATACAATGGATACAAACAAAAGGTAATCTGTAGTCCTGGCACAGTTTCAGTCCCTCAAGGGGCTCTTTGATGTCACTTAGGAGCTGTAGATCCAAGGAATTGAACCCGTCCTATCCTTCCTGTTATTAAAGCTCATTATCTCCCATTCCCAAGGCTCTGTATGACCCTTATGGGTTTAGTGCTTCCCCTTAAATATAATAATGAAAGTTTTAACCCATAAATTCCCATACCAATGTCCAAAAAGGCTCTCTTCAATGTACAGTACGAGGCTGTTGGTTTAAGAAATTGGAGGTTTCCATTCCCAGGCAGTGTATGACCCCTGCAGGTTTAATACTTCATCATTATTTATAAATAATAATAATAAATAAATGCATTGGAAATTTCTTAAAATACAGGTCACTTATAAACTAAGTGAATTAATAATTCTTTGAAGAAGTGACAGTTATTAGGGTGTCAGGTGATGGGTGGCAGAACATACATGCTGTGAAACAGCTGTGAAGAGATACAGGTTGCAACATTACAAACAAACCCACTTCTTCAGTAACAAGAGTCTTGTACCTCTAGGATAATGGTGACAACATTTTCTAGGCAAGATGCTATGTGAATTAGTGCCAAATAACAGAAATGGGAAAAAGGGAAAATATGTCACATAAGCACATTGCTTGTTTGACCAAATATTAAAGGAATCAGACAGAGAGACCTAGGGGTCAACTGATAAAAGATTGCCTCAGGAAGATACAAAGAAATAGTAAGAGACTCTTAGGTGATACTGACCCTTTCTAAAATAGCATTTAGTGGATATATGGAAGTGGAAATCCTGTTGACTACATATGTTACATCAAAATTTGAGAATTTAGCAGTAGCATGGTGTCTGCACCTAAAAAGAAAAAAAACAGACAAGCTAGAAAAAATTCAAAGATGAACTACAAAATGACTTGCAAGGCTAAGAAAATATAGAGATGAAAAAGGGCTGAAAGCATTAGTCTGATGTGAGAAAAACTCTTTGTTGATAAAGAGCTCTTGATCATGAGAAATGCAACTACCTTCCCCATGGATTATATCTCATAGCCTCCCATTCCCCAGGAGTTACATAACCCCCATCCCTCATTATTTTAATACTGCCCATGAATATAATGGAGGTTATAAGGAGAAAAAACATGTGTTAACTGTTACTGATATTTAGGCTACTCTGCATCCTGCCTGACCCTACATTCCTGTCCACCTTACCCTGCTACTCTGCATCCTGCCTGACCCTACATTCCTGTCCACCTTACCCTCCATCCCTACCCATCTTGTTCACCTTTCCTTCTCTTATCCTCATTCTCTTCCCACCTTATCCTTTACCCCTATCTGGAATATCTTCCCTATGTCCAGGTCTCAGGCAAGGCTTTCTAGGTTGGCTCAGTTAGCCTTGTGTCACAAGGTGAGGTGGTTTGGCTCAGTTAACCTCATCATAACCTTGATTAGGTAAGGTTTGTCAGGAAGCAGGCCAAGTGTTTCCTGATGCAAGTCTTAGTCCTGGTCATCTGACTGAGGCTTTCAGCTGGCTTACTGGTGCACCTCTTTAAAAAATAAGGTTATAATTATGATTAGCAATTTTTTTTTTAAAGAAAACATAACCCTGGATGCCTTGGCTCCTGGAGTCTACCTGGAGGGTGTTCTGGGAGTTCAATGCCCCTGCAGCATGGTCCATAACCAGGCCTCATGGTGGATCAGGGCCTTATCAAACAGGCTGTAACTGCCTGCCACACAGTCCAACGTATAAACCACAGCCCAGCTAGTCAAGTACTGACTTTAGGTATGTCCAGCTTCCTCTTGAAAACAGCTAGGGGTCTTATGGCAATCCCCCTGTGTATGCTGGGAAGCAGTTGAACAGTCTTGGGCCTCTCACACTGTGTTGTTTCTTAGTGTACTCATGGCAACCCTGCTCTTCACTGAGGGGATGTTGCACCACCTGCCGAGTCTTTTGCTTTCATAAGGGGTGATTTCCATGTGCAGATTTGGGACTAATTCCTCTAGGATTTTCCAGGTGTAAATTACAATGTATCTTTTTCACCTGCATTCCAAGGAGTACAGGTCAAGGGACTTCAGTAATTGAGGTGCTTGACTGTACTTATATGTGCAGTGAAAGTTTTCTGTATATTCTCCAGATCTGCAATTTTGCCTGTCTTGAAAGGGACCATTAATGTGCAGCAGGATTCCAGCCTAGAGAGAACAAGCACTTTAAAGATGTGATAGTAACATTGTTATGCTCTTTTAATGTGAGATCCTCTGACATTATCACTCCCAGATACTTCACATTAGTTTTCTGCTCTATTGTGGTTAGAATTTGTTTTATACTATGACCTAGGTTTTATTTCCTCTAGTTTTCCATAACAGAGTAATTGAAATTTGTCCTTGTTGAACTTATTTTCTGTGGCTCATTTGAAGACTTAATTTATATCCACCTCTAGATTTGCAGTGTCCTTAACGGATGGCACTCATGCAAATTCTAGTATCATCTGCAAAGGAAGACACAGTGCTATCATTTATGTACTATCTGTCTCTGTCAGATATGAGGACGAGGAAAAGGATGGGAGCAACTACTGTACCTTATGGAACAGCTTTCCACCGTAGCCACCTCTGTTTGTTGTAGAAAGTTAAAGATGATCCATCTACCAACTTTTACAGTTATTCATTTTTCATGCATTTTGTGGTATTACACCATGACTGCACTTGTCAAAAGCTTTGCAAAGTCTGTGTATACTATATCTGCATTCTGTTTGGACTCAGTGCATCCAAGATCATGTCATAGTGGTCCAGTAGTTGTGAGAGGCAGGAGTGGCCTGATCAGTTAGATTCATATCATACATAACCCTAGGGCTTGGTTTAGTTAGCTTCATGTTGTAAGGAATAATGGAACTCAATTTTTTGGGGGGAAGGGGAGGGTGTTATCCTATGTAAGTTACATGTATGTTACTATACTATGCAAGACAATTATTAATCATCCAAAGTTGTGTAAACTGTATGTAAATAAACTTGCTTAATAATGAAATCTTTTCAATATAACGTGATTCGATCAATAACTCTGTGATCCATTCTTCAGTATATTACTGGGCCACTATTAAATATCTTGGGACTATGATAGAGACATTAAATATCAGGATATAATTTTTAATATCAAGCCAATAATCACATTATGCACGTCCCATAAATACCTTATATAAATATACTGTAAATGGGAAATGAGTATCCTCTTCAGTTATACACATTGATAAGTTTTGAGTTTTTCTACTCCCAGAACCTGGCCCTGGGCCAGGCTTGTCTGGTACTTGCCTGGTCAACTACGTTGTTGTTGCTGGTGACCCACTGACCCACATATGTATCACAGCCTGGTTGATCTGGCAGTTGGATATACTTGTCTGGTTTTATCTTGAATATTTGTAAACTTGACCCAGCAGTGCTTCTCATATCTTCTGTTATGTTAAATACTCTGGGACCATGGATGTTGATATAATATTCCCTTATTGTGACCATAGTGCTCTGCTTATCATCAAGTTTCTTTTTTTACTTCCATATCTCACTCCAATATGTTATAGCAGTATGGAGCCTGGGGATTAGGCCCTCAAGAACTTTCTATGTATATATGATCATGTATATCTCTATCTGTCTCTTCCACACCATGCATGAACTGTTTACATGTTCATATCTGGTTACAGTCGTAATGAGTTATTTATGCAGACATGAATTAGGTCACACACAGGAAAAAAGAATTAGTGGTAATGTATTATTTACAGTGGGCAAAGTCAGGGTAGTTTTCCAGAATGGTTGGCAATATACCACTGTAAATAAATAACAAAAAAGGCACAATACCGTGACTGGAACGATACACAGATAACCCGCACATGGAAAAGAGGAGCTTATGATGACGTTTTGGTCCGACTTGGACCATTTACAAAGTCACACTAACCAGAAGTGGAGCAGGAGGAGGCGGAGGCGGCAGCGGCGGCGGCGGCAGCGGCAGCAGCAGCAGCAGCAGCAGTAGCAGCAGCAGTAGTAGTAGAGAATTAAGGAGGAGGAGCCAGTCAAATACAAAGAAAGGGGAGCCCTGCAAGGAAGCTAGGTGCCCACAGAGGGAGAGCAAGTGCACAGAGGTGGGGGGAAAGAGAAGTGATGAAAAAATGAAGGAACAGAAACACGCGACAGAAGAAAGTGAAAAAAAAAAGGAAAGAGGAAAGGGGAAAAGATAGAAGAAGAAAAATGAGGAATCAGGTTAAGTCACGGGTGTTCTGAAGTTTGGAGCATTTTACAATGTAGTGGGAGAGGAAGGCATCTACAGAGACAAAGCCAGGACTAAGATTCATACAAGGAAAGTTGTGTATTAGAGAGGATTCAACTATACAGCGACTGTTAGAGTTGGAAGTAGGGAAGACAGT